GAGGGCTGGCACGAAGAGGTTCGTGAGCCCGTTGTTTCGCATGCGCTTCACGCGCCTTTTTTTTTCAGAACTTTCAAACGGTGCATTTTTTTAATGATGTTTGGCAATGGATTTTTCGGTGTACCCGACTGCTGCTATTCTTTCGAGGGATGTGTTTTTTTTTTTTTTTTTTTTTTTTTTTTTTTTTTTTTTTTTTTTTTTTTTTTTTTTTTTTTTTCCTGCGGTGCATGGAACGTGTGTTGTGCATGTCGTCTCGGCTTGTCTCCGTTTTTTTCCAAAAAGCTCTTCTACTTCGTTTTTTGCATTGACAAATGACGTGCATCGCGTTTGTGAATCCCGAAAATCTTCGTTGTTGCATTGACGACTGGCATGCATCGACAAAGAAAAGAAAGATGAACTCACGACTGATGTGCTCATCATGCAACCGCGTTGTGACCTTCCTTTGTAGTAGTTCAAACTTTTCGTTTTCATTTTTTCCCCCTTCCTTCATGGTAGGTGCGATCGTTAGGATCCGGCGATGGCATGAGGAAGGGAAACACAGGCGACAAGCGTCAGAAAGATGACAATGAAAGTGCATGTTTGGTTTCCTGCCTGATTTCCTTTTATTTCTTTTCTTTGTTAAGTTCACGGCGATGACAACGATGCCGCGATAGGTGAAATGGAAAAAACACKGGCTCATACACAAGAAGATGCAGACGACGATGTGATGGCCATTCACGCGTGCGTCATGTGATAAAACCACACAGAAGACAACGACGACATGACTCCATGCGCAATCTTTTGCATGCAAACACAAGACATGGAAAAAGCAACACACATTTCACTCAGTTCATATTACATAAAATCAATCGCATAGGTGACGATTCCCGCTTCTGTTTGACTATCGACACTTCAAGCGTTCCGCACTACACACGGACTGGTCCTGCCGTTCACGCACATTTCGGCGGAGAAGTCCGCCGACCCAATTAACCCTGCAGCGGAGCAAGCGTACCAAGCGCGCTCCTATCACCTAATAATGACACAAAATAAACGAATGCATCGTTCACTACACATGCACCACAATGACTGCAACCTGACATATACATGATGACACTCGAGACCAGACGTCGTTCGAGTCGCCATGACCACCCGGCTAACGCTCCCCCCCGCCAACCAACCCAACCCCCCCACAACCCTCCCCCCCTCCCTTCCCCGCTGAACAAGCAACACCAGCTGGCACCCATCCCGCCCGTGCTGCCCCGTCTGCGGTCGCAGGCGCTGCGTTCGTCGTTGCGTCTTTCAATACTCCAATCAATCGATGATCCGCACCCTGACGCTGCGCCACGAATGCACCCACGTGTCAACCGTCCTCGTCTCCGACTTCCTCCGCCGCAGGCCCGCTGCCAATCCATCCGTGTTTTGCGGCTTCCGCAACGTTCTTCAGGGCCGCGTTGTGGCCGAACACCAACCCGCAATCACACCATTCCGGAATGCAGTGCGGGTATTCTCCCAGCGTGAGGTGAGCCTTCCCTATACGATCCAAGACGAGGTTCGCGCTGTCGACGATGTGTCGCCGCCAGTTGAAGATGTACGACCCCGCCGCTATCATTGTCGGTTTGGTGACCACGGACGAGTAAAGGCACGCCTCGTAGTGCAAACGGTCGTCGTCACCACCCATGCGCATGATCCACATGCACGCGCTCAACAACGCTCGAAGACAGTCCGCAAGCCTAGACAACCTCTCCTGTTTCACGCGCCCGCCGTCTGCCCATTGTCCACACCACAGTGCGTCTGTCCAGCACTCCGCGATGCGAAGAACTGTCGCCTCTTGCCGCGCCGCCATGCCGTCGTCCTCGGGCCGATCCACAATCTTCACCCCCGCGAACCATAGAGGCACGTCCATCTTCAGTGCCAGAGTGTGGTACACGAGTGCAGGGGACACCACGTTCGACCATTCCTGCCTCTGCCAAACTGCTCGTGCGACGTCTGTGGCAATGTTGACACTGGTGTACGACTCTGCACGAGCGAATCCAACCAACCGCGACGACGATTTGAAGATCCAGCCATGGATGGCGTGCAGCACCAGTTTCTCGATGTTGCGCGCTCTGCGCAGAGCCGGTTCACGCTGCGCAGGGTCCTCGATCTTGAAGCGCGGCACGTCGTTCGACGACAGAATGAGCATCGTAGGTGGTTCAGCTCCCGCGTCTCCGTTGGCGATTGTGATGAAGTAGTCCGCGCACTCGCCCACCGCCTCCCTCAAGGGTTTCCCCGGTCCCTGACCCCTGAAAGAGTCGCAATCAACCCACAACTTCGATCTTTCCTGCAGACCATCCTCCTTTGCGGCTCCCTTCAACCTCGTCACAAGTGGACGGTCGTCGTCGTCGTCGCCCTCCCGCTTTCCGTCTCTTCTTCCCTCGTCGTGGCGGACGTCGTCTACCCTCTCCTCGCCCGCACCTTCGGCGTCTCTGGTTCTACCACTGTGATCTGCCGCCGCCGTCCGAGTGCCAATCGCCGTTGCATCACCCTTTTGCGCGGGCTGTGCTTTCACCCCCCCTGAAGCCCCCAGCTGTTGCAGTGGAAGTGCCTGACGTGGCTGGCCCTGCCCCGTCGCCGCGGGAAGTTGCCTCGGGACGCGCACCTCCGTTATGACAACCCCTGCCGCCTTCGGGGTCCTTTGCGACGCCCCAGCAGCACCAACAACAATGCTATGCTTGACAGTGGACAGTTGTTCCCTTGTCAACCCATCCCGCCCGAAACCCAATCGCGGCGCCGCTGAAGTACCTTGCGCGTCCACCATCACCACTTCTTCTGGCTGGAAGTCTGCAGTGTGCTCGGAGCTCGACTCTTCAACGCGCTGCCTTTTCGGCTTAGGGATATGCCCTCTGCCTCTCTTCGTTTCCCCCTCGTCGCCCGCCCCGCTATTTTGCCTGGCCTTCGCTGATGCGTTCCTCGGGGCCATGTCGTCCGCAACTCGGCAACGTGGACGAAGGAGCACGTGGAAGTACGACGCTTGGAGATTGACGACGGCCACGTCGATGAAGGAGCACGTGGACGATGCGCAGTCGTGGTGGGCAGGAGCCGCGACGATGATGGCCACATAAAAAATAGCACATGCTTGTGGCGCATGAGGGGGGACTGCACGCGGTGCACAAAGCTCGAGAGTGGAGGCGCAAAGGGCGGGAAGTGCTGGCTTGCGGCGACGAATCAGTGATCAGACGACACCGTCGGAGACGTGGACAATGGAGTACTGTCGTACGTACTGCGGCCCGGAATCTCCTTTTCAACGAGGTGCGTCAATGCCGCACACCGTGTACACGCCACACCATCCACGACAGCCCGCCCCCTGGCCGATCGTACACGGACCGTTTTTTTCTCGAAGGCTTCTGGTGATCCGTCGTATGGCCAACAACGCGTGTGGGCGCGCAGGAGGATCATGGTGGAGGTCGAAAGACCCCGGCACGCTTCCGTCGCCCGCCACCCCCCAGAAAAACACACAGGAGGACCATGGTAGAGGCGCCCCTGTCCTCCATTGTCCCCTCCCACCCAAAAAAAAAAAAACACCCTGCCACCCATTCCTTTATCCGACACCAAACCACCTCCACCAAACCACCTCCA